GGGGAGGGAGGTATGATAAAGACATAGGAGCGCGTGGAGACCGTTCACGCTCAAGTGGACAGAGAGAGCAATGTGGAGAGGAAACACAGAGGTGAGCTGCTGCCAGACATGAAGCAGTTTTAGGTTTGTTGGAGGAAAAAGTCCTTTCAGCAAAATCTGCTCTGACTTTGATACTGAGTACAGTAACAAAGTAAAAATACTTTGTTATTGTACTAGGAAATTTGGTTATCTGTACTGGAGTAATTATTTTTCAAAGGACTTTTTTACTTCTACTCCTTTTTGAAAAAGAAGTAGAAAGTCACTCCTAATTCAGTTGCTTGTTTTCATTCAGGCTTGTTATAAAAAACATATATTCAGGTAAACAGGGCCTCCTGGAAAGAGTGAGTTTAATTGTGGTAATATGAGAAGTATAAAAATATACAATTTTAACATCCTATCAGTTGTGTCACACTCCAGCAGGACATATCCCACATACAGAGTGAAGATGATCGTGGCAGAGATACTGTATATGCAGCAAGGAGCCCAGTGCATCTCAAGTTTTCAACATTAACGTTTTAATATATCATAGTAATTAGTAATTATGGCCTTAAAATGTTTTTTGGGTGAGGTCAACTTCCAATAAATTAATTTTTGACATTCTAACCACTCACTTTTACTCAATGCTTTTACTTTTGATAATTAAGTACGATAGGCTTGTTCTGTTGAGGTTTTTAAAGCTAAGTTAAAGACGCACCTGTTCAAATTATCTTACGTGTCTTAATTTTATCCTTTGTTTTTTTATTATTGCCTTGCCATCTCCTGTGTTTTTATGTTTTTTTGTGATTCTATTTTTTACTTTGTGACTTCACCGCTTGTCATCTGTGATTTTATCTCCTGTCCAGCGCTTTGTTTGAAAGCGCTTTACAAATAAAGTTATTACTGGTTATTATTAAAATGTCAGATATTTTAGGACTTTTGCTCAAGTAATATTATCAAAAAAGACTTTAACTTTTACCATAGATACTTATACTTTTACTCAAGTATCACTTTGAGTTATATTAAACAACACTGCTGGTAGAATCCTGAGACCACCAAACCATGCTCCCTCTGCCCCCTGCCTGCAAAAGAAATTCTGTCCGTCAAAGTTGTGAACAGAACCGTGACTACGGGCAGAGCTGGTGGAGTCCATCTCCCACCCTGAAGGGGGCCGACTTACTGTCAGCAATGTGAACCAAAGTCTCACACTGCTTGTATAGAGACTGAATGGCCCGTAACAACTGACACACAATCCCATACTAAGAGTATTCCCCACAGTGTACCTCGAGGAACACAGCTGAATGCCTTCTCAAAGTCCACAGAACACATGTAGACTGGATGTGCTAACTCCCAGGTCTCCGTCAGGACCCTAGTGAGGGTAAAGAGCTGGCCCAGTGTTCCACAGCCTGGATGGAACTCAAATTGTTCCACTTAAAGGTCACCATTGATTGGACTCTCTTCTCCAGTACCCCTGAATAGATCTTACTGGGGAGGCTAAGGAGACTGATGCCCCTATAATTGGAACAAACCCTCCGGCCCCCCTTTTTGTAGAGGGGAACCACCCCGGTCTGTCAGTCCAGTGGCACTGCCCCCCGATGTCCACACAGCATTGCAAAGGCGTGTCAACCAGGAGAGCCCCACAACATCCAGAGCCTTGAGGCAATCAGGGCGGATCAGGAGCCCTGCTGCGACCTCAGCTCCAGTTAAAGACAGACCAACCCTGAAGTCTGCAGGCTCAGCTTCCTCCATGGAAGATGTCAGGATGGAGAAGGTCTGAAAAGTATTCCTTGCACCTGTCTGCATGTTGGACTCAATGTGGCACAGACACACAAAGCTGAACATCAAGGGTTGTGTAGACCAGTGGTTGTCAAACTTTTTATCTTCTGACCCACAAAATATCCATGGCAAAAACTTGTGACCCCAAATATTACTGGTCTGAGTACACAAACTT